GAGAGAGAGAGAGAGAGAGAGAGAGAGAGAGAGAGAAAGAGAGAGGGAGAGAAATCGCCACGACCTTCCTCCGATATAATACCAACCAAGAGATTTATGGAGAAGCAAGAAATATTAAGACAAATGGGATATGGGTTTGAATTCTGTGAAATATCGTGGTTAAACACGGGAGATGCAACTCTATCTCGCCGGTATAAATAAACGATAGATCGATAATAATAGAACTCGTGGACTCTTGGTAAAAGTTATTTAATTAATATGCTCGAACGAGAATATCGATTTAGAAATTTTACGGGGTCCTTCTCTTCGAAGTCAAGGAGAATATTTTTGGTCACGGCCGTTGTTGCGCTCCGCGTTATTGAGTTAGAGGAAAAATTGAATTATACTCGACTAATTTTCGTAGCTTTTTTCCTTTTCCTTTTTTTTTTTCCAAATAAAATTAACCGCGTTAGTTTAGGGAGATTAACGGAGGAGAAAATAGAGTCCGTTTCAAATTTTGCAAGGAGAGATGAAAGAAGAAATTTTAGAACGAGAAGAAATTAAAGCATTTTCGAAATGGTGGACATTCATTGGTAAATTTTTATCAATTAAAATTAGTTAATTAGTTGAAGAGAAAGTTTACTTTTTTTTTATAGTGAAATACGCTGTGTAATTTAATTGTAAAAAAAGAATTTTAAACGTTGGAAACAATTTAAAAAATAATATTTCATTATTCTAATTTCATAAAAGTTTAAGATTAAGATAAACGCTTTTTATTCGAAACAAATGGATTTCGTGTTCGACTGAGGAGAAAAATATTTTATTTCACTTGACGATCCGAGTCATCGAGATAAAGATATTTCAACGAATGTTTTATACTATGTCTCGAAATTTCACATATTGTGGAAAAATATTGTAAACATATAACCGGTGATACAACAAAATATCTTTTACCCCTTTTCCATCAATGAAAAACAATTACGAAATTAATTTTGCCGAGACAACAGATGAAATTTTCCAGGGAAATTGGAAACGTCACCCGAATTGATGAAAGCTCCCCCTTTCTCGAGGGACAAGGCCAGAGGTAAAAATGAGTATCAAGAGCACAAATGGAAAGTTATTACTACAGGCATTCCTTTGGAGCCTGTAATCGATCATAATTTGATTCCAGCCAGTGAACTTTCTCAGGTCCCTTCCCCCCTTTATCTGTTAATCCCTCCTTCTCCTCCTCTTTTTTCGAAAATACGCAATAACGAAGTTTGTCACGTGATAAAAGCTTTTCGAATACTGTTTTTCACTCGATTCAAATCAATCTGTATAAATAAAAGCTTCTCCTTTTTTCTTCACAAAGATGAAGAAGAAGTCGCGATTCGACGAATTTATCCTCGAGACATTTCATCAAAACCATCTTAAATCTTTCACAAAGTGTTTTCATCGTTCAATAGTTATTCGAGCGAGTGATAATTGGGACACCCTATATAATTAAAATTCACTTTAGTGATAAATTAATTTACCATTGCAGAGTTAATTATCTCTGAACAATAATTATGAATGTAAGGCTTAGGTTTCTGGATCCTAGAATCAGAAACTTGGCGTTCTTAATTGGAAAATTGTATCCTTGATCACGAAAAAATGGAAGGTTAACGCAACGTACGTTCGCTTTTGCATCGCGAACGAGGAGAAAAAGAGAGACTCGAAAAATTACGACGCGGTCTCGAGGCTAGACAACATCGCGACGTTATGCGAAAAAGGACGCAGACAAATGAAGAAATACGCGTAGAGAGGATTTCCTCACGAATGCCAGCATTATCATTCGATGATGAAGTGCCAATTTTCTTTGCAATTATTCTTAAACAATTTTATAAGATTAATAAATTTTTGAAGGTAAAAGAAGAAGGTGCAAATCGATTTATCCACTACCTACTAATATCCACTTGCTAATTCTAATTTTTATACAATTTCCTGACGAACTCTATTTCTACTCTCTTCAAACTCTCGTGCACAGCTGAGATAAATCATACGCGCCAATGCATCGTGTTCGCGTTCAAAACATCGCGAAAGATCGTTCCACCACCATCGCCGTTAGAAAATTATTCGAGCGGGGAATGGAGGCTTGAAACTCGAACGCACCCGATAAATGCGGTTTGCGATTCCAGATTTCAAAGGCGGCAATGATACAGCCGCGTCGATCATGCGTGCGAGAGGAAAGCGAGCCAGTTTCACGGGTGGATAAAGAGAAAGAGAGAAGAAAGGAAAAAGGAAAAAGTTGCTTTCTAAAGAAAGAAAAAAATAGAAGAAAAAGGGAAGAAATCGAGCGAAGAAAAAAATGGAGGAGGAGGGGGAAAAGTTGCGTGGAAAAAGTGCAGCTCGACGCTTCTCTCAAAGAATGATGTAAAGGAGCGTGAAAAGTGGAAGCGAAATTTTAAAGAGAAATTTCACGTGGATAGGATCGATCGATATTTTCTTTTCTTTTCTCTTCTTTTTTTTCCCCCTTAAAATATCGATTCTATATCGATATATCTTCTGAGCACGAGTCTTATATTAGACTTAATATCGATATTATTATCGAGACTTTATTAAAGATATAAAAATACTCGAAATTACAAAAATTATCTACAGATTTGTATCGAATTTGATTATGATTTTCGTTTCATCGTAACGTTATCGTAACTTTCATTGTGCGAAGGTATCTACGTACTTATAAATAGAAGCGTACGTATTTCAACGTAACAATAAGGGTAAAGGTAAGATATAACACGTAACAGGATCGATTCTGCGCTTGAATATATCGAAATCCCCTCTTCCTCCCCCACCCCAGGACTTGCGCTTCGTCGAACCTTCGAAATATCTGTTAATTATGATTATCACTTTGACCAGGATCGTATCGATAATTTATCGCGAAATCTCTCGAAATAAGAACGAAATAGGATGATCGTAATTCCGAATATTAGCTAATATACATATGCCTGATAATGCCATATCGATTCCCGAAGAATCTTCTCGTTTCCTTTGGACAATCCAAGTTGGAAGAAATTAAAGAATCGTTGATTTTTCGCGCATTTAATTCTTTTCCCTTCTTAATTAACCCTTTGACTATAGTTCGCTCTTTATATAAGATGTCACTGAGATATTATGGCGACTATTGTAATCAGTCCGCATAAGATACGAGGAGCGATCGAGTTGTATCTTTCTCTGTGTGAAACGAAGCATCGATATTTTTATCAATAAACACCGTCTCAAAGCAGTTCGAGTTGTGAGGCAAGTAAACGCTCGCGATCTTTCTCGAGCACATTTTTGACGAGACGAAGAAAGGGTAGCGAAAGGAAATCAATTCAATTAATTAGAATCAGGGAAAAGATTAATCGATTCGATTATTCGTTTTTGCAGGAGGCGTTGGTGAAGAGGTTGGGCCCGAACGCCCACGCTTTCACCATGGAGATCACGCCTTTAGCGCCCCCATCGGTGCAGTTGGTGCCTGCGAAAGAATATAACGGCGCCCCTATCGGCACCAGCTACGACGTCAGAGCTTACATCGGTGAGGAAAGTTGGTGGACAGGACGCTCGATTTACGCGGATTGATCGATTAATTAGTTTTTTTTTTTTTTTAAATTGGAAAAGAGATCGAAGAGATCTCTTTTGAAGAAGATTCAAAAATTCTTCTCTTGATTTGCACGTACAATACGAAAGAGACAGAATTTTAATCATTTATTTCCTTAAGTAAATTGCAAGAAAAATATAGGAGGCAGAGACATCTTTCTGCATTATGAAAAATTAAAAGTAACAATTTATAAAGTAAATTCGTTTTAACACAGAGATTTTATCTTAAAGATAATTGTAAGATAATTTCTCTCCATATATCTCCTTTGCTCTTTAACAATTTAGAGATCCAGAAAAGAAAATAACGAATGTTAAGAAAAATCCTTATGCAAAACAAAAATGGAAAACTTTCAAATTAACACCAAGAATTTACTTAGCTTTAATAATGAAGAATCTATAGAAGAAGAATTATTTATACATATATCGATCACGTGATTGGCGGGAAGATTCGAATACGAAAAAATACGAGACGCTTTTAGAATTGGATCTCTTCTCGATTTTCTCCCTTAATTATAATTATTATACGATTTCGAGATATTATTCGTGAAAGAACATTCCAAAGTCTTCATACTTTTTATATTACAAATTTTCTTAAATTCAGAATAATTCTTTTCATTTTATCTGAATTAATATTTTTTGTTTCTTCTTCTTTTTTTTTTTTTGAACATTCTTTCACCCATCAAATATTCTCCAAATATTGAAGTTGACGTATCTTGACCTCCAAAAGATATTAATTTTTTAATCCATTTAGAAATTCCATTATTAAATTCTTTTATATATTTCTATAAGCAATTTCAATTCTCAACTTTTCCAACTGACAATTTTAGTTCCATTCGAATCACGAATTATCCAGAGAAAAATCGCTCGATAAATAATTCCATCTAACCGAACACGAGACGATGAAATTTAGCCGACCGGGCGGACGAGAAGCTTCACCGGAAAACGACCGTCAGGATGGGGATCCGTGTGATCCAGCGGACCACGAGGCCCCCGTTGCCGGCCACGAACGTGTACAGCGTGCCTGTGTCGGCCACTCCCTCCTCCAGAGAACGAACCGGCAGAGTCTCGTTCGTGGAGAACGAGATCGCGGAGGACGAGGGTAAGAGGTGGCTCTCAGGCTTGATTGAAACAAAAATGGATCGACGATTGAAATTGCATCTTCAACCGCGTTACGTTCGAATGGATTTGTTATTAAATTTCGATAAACTTTAATCGATTTAAGAGCTCAATTATTATTATTATATAAATATATCCCTCGATTTTTCAATTCGATTTCTTTTTTCGTTCTCTCATAATACGAAAAAGTTGTCGGGAATTCCCAACAGGGAATTTTAAATCCTAGCCTCGAGACTACGCGAATACGCAGGAAAAACTATTAACGAAATTACGAGTTTGGCAACATCGATAAATCTGTGAACAGAATTTTATTTCCACCAGAGAATAAAAAATATCTGAATAAACGTCTGTTTGCATAATGCGATAAGTAAATTTTAACACAAACTAACCGCGAAATGGAAATGTTTCCAATATTTTGCAACGATCATTTTCAGAGAACGCGGCCCCACGCGCGGCGGTGGAGAAACCGTTCTTGTTGAGCGACGGCCGCGTGGGTTTGGAGGCGAGGCTGGATCGCGCCATCTACGCGCACGGCGACCCGATCACCGTGCACGTCAACGTCAATAACAACAGCAGCAAAACGGTGAGAAGGATCAAGGTGAGGCTTGTAACGAGGCTTTCGATATAATAACCGATGATATCGTTACGGGATTGAAATGCTAAAACGAGAGGATGATCGTTCCGGTTCGAGAACCAATTTGCCGAGATTTTCATCCCTCGTCTTTGCCGCGTACGCTTCTTGCTTTCGATAATAACCGGGAGAGGATAATTTGTATTCATGATACAGTTTGATCAAACGTATGCGTATTACCTTGCTTCTGATATTACGATTTAAATATATAAGGTCGGGGTAAATTCGAGGATGAAAATTTCGAGCGGAATTGTTCGATTCGGTGGAAATGTATGGATAAATTGTCACGCGATAGTGGTTAATAGGGGAAAAGAGGAATAAAATTCGTATTTTTGAATTCGGAAAATTGGAAAGTTTCATTCGAATAATTGTTTCCAAGAACTCGAAGAACTTACGCCTGATCGTGTATTTGCTTGTTCTACTGGCAGAATCGAGGCAGAAATTCATTGAGAAGAAGAAAAGAGGAAAATGATCGATTCGAAGAAAAGTTGTGGAAAAATTATTTCCACTGGACTGGACTCGTTCTATTATCTCATTTCATAAGATTGAAAAAATATATTAGAAAAGTGATAAAACTTTTAGATTTGCTTACTGAAACGAAAAGCAAGAATAATAATAATAATTTTTTTACTTGGAAGAAAAAATGATGAAATTAAGCAAAACTCTTTTTTTTTGATCATTGATTAGCATCGATCAATTTATGGAAGACATAAAGTTGGAAAGTTTTCTTTTTTTTTTTTTTTTCAATTAAACTTTGAAATTTCGTCGAATCGAAGAAGAAAGGATTAAGGAAAGTAGAGAAAGCAAGGTCTGATTGTCATTCTCGCTCGAGCAAAACTATGAAAAAGTGTAGCGGGGTGGGAATAAAAATGAAACTTGTGCGAGCCACGAAATTAAAGGAACAACAAGAGATCGTCTACCTTTTCTACTGGCGAAAATCCCTTGGCATTTCGTATTGTTACAATTGGTAAGAAAAAGTTTTTAATACACGCGCAAAGAAAGAAAGAAAAAGGAAATTTCATCATTCTAATCTAACAATAAACGGTACAATTAACAGCCAATTTTTTTTTTTTCCCTAAAAATGAAAAATTTAAGGTTCTTCCCAACACGAAAAATCCTTGGTAAAGCGAGCTTCTAGATTAAGAATGAAAATGAAACGTATTTAGAGAAGTTAAAAAATTACAAACTATTAATTCCAATAATTTTCGAGCAGAATTTTTAAAAGAAACGCGTTCCTTTATTGAAGTTAAAGTTAATTTTTCTAATAAATTTTCGTGTAATTTTACAATATCGTGATCACAATTAAAATTACATTTTTCTACTTTTTTTCGGATATCTATCTCCTACGCTTTCGAAGAAGAGAAAAATTTTCGGTAGTTTAAATCAACGACAGTTGGGAGAATATTAATATCAAAATTCAATTTATACGAGCATACGTGTATGAAATCTATCGTGAACATTCTGAACAACAAACTTTTAACTCGATTTCAAAATATTCGCGTCTCATCTCAGCAAAGTTTTAATTTTATTCCGAATAAAAATAATATT